TATTGAACAATACATCTTATATTTCATAATATAAAAAAAGAAACCATCCTTTTTTTTTTCTAAAAATGAAAAATTATTTTACCTTTTTACTATTTTGTGCACGAATACGAGCTTATTAAATTTGACTCATACAACTTGGATTTAAAATTACACTTTGAAATACTATTTAGTATGAAGAATTATAAATTTAGAAGGAAGCCATTTCCTATGATTTTTTAAGTTTCTTTTGCTCCTTATGATTAATTGTGAACTTTTGTCTCTAAATTTTAATTAGCTAACTATTTAAAAATTTATTTATAGTGGACAATTTAGAGGTATAAAGGAGTGTTGTGTTCAAATTTCTCTACTTTTGAGTTAACAATTTAGGAGAAATTATTTTTATAAATTAAGACAGTGAATTGGTCCCATTATCTTATATTAGATTTTTTGGTCATTATATTTGATATATTTTTGTAATTGTTTACCTTATATTTTTTACTGTAGGATGTTATTTACTGTACACTTCTATTATAAGACCGACCTCTAAAATTGAAATTGTAACGCCACAAAGAATAGCAAGTAAAATCTTCCCAAATATAGAGAGATGTATGTATATTGAATTTTATTGCAAAAATGGATATATAAATTATGATTGCAATTAGTGAAATTTTACTTCGTCGTTCTATCGATTTTCTATTCTATATGTTATAGATCTTTATTGATTTTGCTTATATTATATTTTTTTCAATAATTGCCCGTGCAACGCAACATGTAAAGCACGGGACAAAGTACTAGTTTTATATAAATTTGATAGTCAATTAAAATAATTTGAAGGAGAAAATAGTAGCACTCTTATTTTTAATGGGTCAAACCTCATGTTTTTTCACCTCCGTAAAATACCTCCATATTTTTCTTTTAAATAACATCCATTCCAATTTATTATAGAAAACTGTCGAAAATTGAATTTAAAACGAAAGCAAAATCATATATGTTTATTATAGGCAACCGCCATGCATTTACGATTGACACAAACCCCCAAAAAATTGGAAGAAATATGATCTCACCCATTACCGTCTTCACTACTACAAATTTAGTTTTCCAGTATCAACTATAAAAAAGTTCATAGTTAACTATTTTTTTTTTCATTAATTTCATAGTAAATTATAATTCTTCATCAGCTATCCGGTATTCTGTTACAATTTTCCTGTGTCAACTACTCAATTATAATTTCTTTATCAGTTAACTATGTTATTATCTAGGTGGCTATTCAATTTATCGTTTCCCTTTGTTGATTCCTCAATCCCGATCATAAACAAAACAAACATCAATCACCTTATCAAACTTCCACATAAAATTGTGAAACACCATTTTATTAGATGACTATATGTAGTAGATTATAATATAGTGGACTACAAATTTTAAAACTAATTAATACAACGGAAAAGAAATCCTGAAGGTGCGTGCAACAAAGAAATTTTTCAATACGGGACTAGGATTTTGGGCTATGATTCAAAGGAGAAATTTCCTTCATTTTTTAAGATGCAATGAATTCCCATCTGCTAGGGTTTGCGCGCGCGCGGCAGCCTCAAATTCCATCATGGGGGTGCTAATGCTCTTCCAATGTGAGGCTAGGGTCTTAGGCGACCATTCAGAGGAGATATTATTTCATCTTTTAGGTGGGACAACTTCCAGATCTGCTGCAGGTCGTTCGTGAGAGAAGAGACAAAGGTTAAGAGACGATATAAATATACATGTTGTGATTAGATACTTAATATGCGTATTATGGAAAGAAATGACATAACGAAAATAAAATAAGCCAGCGTTACCACAATTCATATTATGTTTTTTGGGCTCTTTACAAAGGTTCATATATAAAATGGACATTGATATTATTTGGTGAGTTGAGGTGATTTTTCCCACTTTCCCATGAAATTACTGTTAAGATTTTAATAATGAACAAGTGTAAGAAAAAATAATATTTGGGCAAGTATTTTAATTATGGGGCTCTTTGAGAAACAACCCCCAACTTCTTTTAATAAGGAGAGATTCAAAATATTTTGCTTCACTTGACAAAAACTCATATTCATTTCCAGTCATTATTTTTTCCAATTGTGCCCCCGCCAGCCGCATCATCATTGCGTCACGTGCTGGTCATTAGCTTTTTTTTTCTTCGTTTTATTAACTTTTTTTGTATCACTTTTATTAATCGTATGTGAAGCATAGTCAATTTAAGGAAAATCAACTATGACACAGTCGATTAAGGAAATTCATTAAACTTTTTATTTATTTATTTTTTTCGTTTTTTTTTCTTTCTTTTCTAACGGGTTTATTAATCGCTTATGAAGCATAGTCGATTAAGAATCTGAATACTAAAACTAACAAATCCCAACTACAAAAAAAAATGCAAAATCAACTATTTTTACAAAAACAAAAATATACGAACATTATAATTTATTTATACAATTGGAATCAATAAACAAAAAGTACAAAAATAAAATATAAGTTGGAGTCGATTACCTTAATCGACTACCAGAGCATAGTCGATTAACTAAATTGACTATTGATCAAACCTTCTTCACATCTGCCGCCGTGTATTTCATCTCCTCGCCGTACGCGCCCTTCGCCACCAGCTCCGGCTCCGACGGCGTCACCAGAGGGAACGAGTGCGAATCTGTTATGTGCCAGTGGAAGACGTTCAGTTTATTCATGCCGATTGCCTTAATCACCCAACAATTCATCCAATTCGAAGTAATTTCTCGAGGTGTCCAACGATACTCCGCGATGGGCGAACAACGGCGTCGGAAATGTGCAGTCCGACGGCTTCGAGTAGACCATTATCATCTCTTGAGTATCATAAGAATTCTTTACGAAACGTAAGAAAACTCTTCTTTATTATTTCTCTTCATTATAAAACCCTAGCACAAGACGACTATTTAAAGATAATAAAACCCTAGAATCCTAATCTAACTAGAAAAGATAATTACCTAAACTAATAAAATAATTAATAATCCTCCTATCACTAAACACACGGCTATACCTATATCCTAAATATACTATTCTAACTAATTAATAATTAAATATTAACTAAACCAATAATTAAATAATAAACTAAATAATATATCGTATCAAACCACCCCTCTTGAAATGAACCTTGTCCTCAAGGTTCGATTCAATTTGGTCCCTCTCCTTTGCGTTTTCACCTATGTTTGACTTCATCGACTTGCTTCCCGATTGACTCTGCAAAACACGATGAATGACCAAGCTTTTTAACACATTGTTCATGCTGATCCAACGAAATTCCAAAGGCTACTATAGCAAAAATATTCATTCTTTTTTCCCGACAAATAAATTTTTACAATCGTCTTTTTAGATTTTATCTCATCCAAACTGACCATTGGTTCTTCGACTTCTTTATTTTGAACACCATGGAAATCTCATAATATCCACGGTATTTCTTCGTTCTCCTCCCTGGTTAATTTCTCGTCTTCGTCCCACTTTATCTCAGTTGAATCCGATTCTTCTTCTTTAGGCGAACTCACAAAAACTAGGGCTCTTCGAAAAAGTCATCGTCGTCCTCTTCCTCTCCCTCCGACGATAGGCTCGACAGTGGCAGTAGGTGTGGCTCTTAGAAAAAGTCATCATCGTCATCTTTCTCTTCCTCCGGCAATAGGCTCGGCAGCGGCAGCAACGGTGGCATTGGGGGCATTTGGCAGCGGTCCCTTCGGCTTTGAAGATGGCGTTGACGTCGTCCTTGACTTTGTTCGAGCAATTTCTGAAAACTAATCCGTAATTTCTCTACGGATTTTTCCAATCGCTCCAACCGTCTTGTTTCTGTCATCATGATTGGCTTTGCTAGCGAAGCGTTGGTGTTATCGCAACTTCGCTATGATACCAATTGATACGATCTCTTGAGTATCATAAGATTTCTTTACTAAACGTAAGAAAACTTTTCTTTATTATTTCTCTACCTTATAAAACCTAGCACAAGACGACTATTTAAAGATAATAAAACCCTAGAATCCTAATCTAACTAGAAAAGATAATTACCTAAACTAATAAAATAATTAATAATATCCTCCTATTACTAAACACACGGCTATACCTATATCCCAAATATACTATTCTAACTAATTAATAATTAAATATTAACTAAACCAATAATTAAATAATAAACTAAATAATATATCGCATCAATCAGCTGCGAGAACGTCTCCAGTCCCCGCATCGCTCCCCATGGGGTTTCGGCGGTCAGAACGGCGGCGCCGCCGGTGGAGGGGATGTCGAACAATGTATGAATCGTTGATGACGTGTGCGAGCGCGACGGTGGTGTCGGCGACTAGGTTTTGAGCGGCGAGACGAAGTGAGGTTGAGTGGTGGGATTATGAGGCGACGGTGGTGGTCAGTGAGGATCTGGCGGAGGTAGCGGTGGGCAGCGGGGGAGAGGTAGCGGTGGTGGTGGGGGCGGAGATGGTGAATTTGGGAGAGAGAGAGGGATCGCCTGTGGATAGGGTCAGTGGAGAGAGTGAGAGTACTTACTCGGATAAATGAAAAATGAGATTATGGTTTTTAAAAAGTAAATTGACAATTAAGGGTAAATTTGGACTTATAAAAATAACATTTTGATAGAATATTAGCTAATGAAGTTTTCTCTAATTATTTTTCACAAGATGATTTTCCATAACTACATTTCCTAGATGAGTATAGCTAAATTTCCCTTTAATTATTTGCAGCAAAAGGTCCTAATGTGGGTATTTGCATACATCGTATGATGAATATGTATCTCGAATAGACGAGTAGTCTTTTTCAATAAATTTTAAAAATATAATATAAATACAATATAATGAAACTCAATAAGAATTCATTGAACCGGCCCCAACCACCAATTTATGAAAAGAAAAAAACCCGGTCCAACTACCTACCAATTGAGTGCCAATTCCATGTCATTTCCATTTTAAAACATTTTGGTTTTTACTTTTACTTTTTACTTTTACTTGTTACTTTTCTTTTTACACACGTTTTGAACTTTAGGGTAAATGCTATAATTAAGGTAATTGTCAAATGTGGGAGCTGCAACAACTCGGAGAAAAAATTGGGGAAGGAAAACACACAGAAAAATGTCAGTCAGATCCTTTTGGCGCGCCAAAACTAAGGTACTTTTGGCGGCTACTGCGTTAGGAGGAGCTGGCGCCGGCGCGGCGGCAATTGCGAACTCCGAGGATCCGGCTTCCGCTCTCAAGCTTTCTACGGCCGTTCCCCTCCGCCTCCTCCGTGATGCGGCCACTGCTGCCACTATTGCCTTCGGTACGATTTAACTCCCAAAATTCTTCCTATCTTAGCTTTATCTTTGGATTATCGTGTATATTAGGTATAATCCGAATGCTTTCTGGAGAAGATAAAATGAGCTATTTTTTTCTCTCTCACTGTAGTTGGATAATCAAATAGGAAGCTGTTAAATTGATTGAAGATGTCGAATCTTATTTTTGGTCGGCGTAAAATTATTTTGCTATTTATTGCTGGAACTGTGATATGCTACTTTCTATTAGTTTAGAACTTCTGAAGACAGGGAGTTCAGATGGAAATTTTGAGTTTTGTGACCACGAGATACCCCTTTCACACTTTTTGCGTATAGGCTAACCGGACGCATTAATGCCTGCTACTCATTATCTGATATTGATCTTAATTCTGATTTCTAATGACTTCCTATATTCACATTTGAGATACATTCATTAAGCTAAGGCAAATTTGCGTTGAAGAAGTGATGTTTACATCTCCTTTTTCATTTTTACGTATTCATTCTATAAGCAATAGAGCTGAGTTGAACTTATAGAATGTCTGAAATTTGACTATCTTGCTCCGCATTGCATGACATCATAGATATGGTCCTTTGTTAGGATATGCAAAGGATTGTTTCTCTCAGGGAAGTTTGCCTTTAACATCTTAGTTGACCTAACATATCAAAGTTGTTTCATTCTGTATATGAGAAAGCCATATCCAGGGTCTCTTTGATTAGAACTAGTGCAGAAATATTTTCCAGGGAAGAATCAAATACCATCTAAGAAATATATTTAATTTTTCCGATTCTTCGATTAATGAGGATTTAATCTTAGGAGGCTACAATGTGAGGGTTTCTGCAGATATCATCACCTTAGAGCAGAAGAAATTTTGGAAAAGGGTTGTTACTCGATAGGCAATATATTTTGATTAAATACTTCAAGAAAGTTGGGTACTGATGTGGAGAAAGACTTTAGTTTGATGTTGATGATTCGAAGTATTACTGGATTGGAGTTTGGCGAAGTGTTTGAAAGGGATGGGGAGAGTGGGATGTGCGTTCTGGGATCATTTAAACAAATCACATTGTGTGAATGAGCTAGATTTTGTCTCTTCAAATGTGGGGCATTTGATGCGTGAAGTAACGAATTTAATGTTTTTCTGACTCGCCGTTTGGCGATTTTAATGTGTTAATTATCAAGGGGCAATCACTTGATCGCTGAAGTTTAGTTATGTTGGATTTTCTAAAAAGCTAGGTTTATGTGCAGCACTTCTTTAACATTAGGACTAGAGTATATCAAGGATTGAAGGCTAGTCGACAATCGACATTACTTGTTTTGCTTCCTTTAAAAATGTACTGAATAGCTTTTTTTTTTCTTTTTTTCTTTTTTCTGTACTATCATTTTCCCTTTCCTGCTTCTTTATATGGGAAAATATGCTTGCTGTGAACATGATTCATATGTCTTAACTGAATGCTGGCTTTTATCTTTAATAACTTGGGCAAATTTGGATTTATGTCTTTAAGAATTTGTTTAGGCTGGCCTTAGAATATAAAAATTCTATTCATTTTATGAGTTGAAGAACATTCCTTCCCTTAAAGTTCTCTCAAATAGTTAGTGTCTGACACTGATTAACTTATCAGATCTACTGATGGGCCTAAGATGATTGGAACAGCTTCATTGATCTTGGGCCGGCTCAAGTAAGGAGATTGTTTGAGCTGGAGTTAGTAAATGTCGAGCGTGACTGAAAAGTTCATGTTCCTGATGTATGAGCTGGCTCACACTTCACAAGCGTTAGTTCATAAATAAAATAGAACATCAAAATGAGATGGCCTAGGTCCTACTTTGTTGCACTTGCTATATTTCTCCTTCTCATATATTTATCTTTTTGGCTAAATAAGTTTTTAGGTTCTTGAATTTGAATATGTAGGAATCAATTTAGTATATGTGAGCTTGTTTGTAGCATTTTACTGTAGATCTGATGTTATATGATGTCTTCTTAGATTATGAGTACTCACTCTTGGGGCTCCCCGAGGGGAGCGTGGAAAGGGAAAGAGTTAAACGTGAAGTTCATACAAGGAGTGCACAAAGGCTTCAAGATCTGTGCTTTAAAAATGGTGGGATATACATTAAACTAGGTCAGCATATTAGTCAGCTGGAATATTTGGTGCCAGAAGAGTATGTTCGGATAATGAGACAATCAATGTTGAATAGATGCCCGGTTTCATCATATGACCAAGTGCTTGAAGTTTTCAAGAAAGAGCTTGGAGGGGCACCTGAACAAGTAAGTGTCCTCAATTCGTTTAAAGTAGTCATTCAAACTTGTATATATCTTCTAGATCGATCAAGAATTAACACGATGGTAGGTAAGTGGATGTTAACATCTGTTCTTGTCGTTAGTCATGTCGTATTATCATTCATATAGCTGATCCAATTTTTGTTCTTGACAGATCTTTGATAAATTTGATCCTGTCCCCATAGCAAGTGCTTCTTTGGCACAGGTCCACATTGCCCAAACTCACGACGGACAAACCGTTGCTGTGAAGGTAAACATCAACCTTCGTACATGTGTTGTTGATATTTTTAATGATTGGTTAACTGTTTTTTTTTTACCTTTTTAACTATTTGATTTGATTCTACTTCAGGTTCAGCATACTCACATGACAGACACTGCAGCAGCAGACTATGCAACTGTGGAATTAATCGTTAACACTTTGCACCGGCTCTTTCCTTCATTTGATTACAGGTTTTGAAATGGATTTTTATCAAGACTTTCTCTTAAGGTCCTTTTGACTTGGAGTGCTGGTGGTTCTGGAGTCGTGTTTAGAATATAAATGACTGTTAATATCTGTCACATAATACTGTATGTTGTGCAATGTTTCACATGTTCTTGTTAATGTTTTTCCCTTGCTGTGAAGAAGTTTAATTTTATCAAGACTTTTGCAGGTGGTTGATTGATGAAGTGAAGGAAAGTTTACCCAAGGTTTGTTGCTCCGCTTTGTATTATTTTTTATTTCCCATCCTTGTTTGAGATGATGCCTTTCACTGTACACCGATTATACAAGGCATAACCATATTATTTACGACGTGTCTCCTTTTGTGTCACTAAGTACCTTCTACATTTTCTTGAATACTGCATCATCAAAAACGTATTTTATTTTTTTGGTGATTTAGAAAATTCTTCTACAAACTTGTTTTAAAGTGCGATCCGATCAATTTGTGACCATATTTAGAATTAAGTGGTATTTCATGCTTTTATAATATCTGATTAAGTAAGGACTCAGGTAAGCAACAAGACTGTTTTCCACTACTATGAACAGCTCAAGGTCTATACTGTGATAGTTTTGCACTTTATCTTTATTCTTGGTCGTATTTGTGACTTAGCTTGTATAAGTTTTATATGTTTTTTCCGAAAGTTAAACCTAATAAACTGCATGCATTATTACTATGCTGACATTCAAGAGTATAACAATCCAGAGTAAAAGTAAAAAAATGTGTGACGTATGTAGCTTTTGGCTCAAACTGCAGTTTTCTATGGTTATAAGTTCTTGAACAGTGCGCTCCGATCTCCCATGTTTTTAATGTATGTGGACTGGAATTTCCGCCGAGTTTGGTCAGCAGTTTCAAAATGTTAAACTTTTCACGTCTATAGTCAGGCTCATACATATCTTACTAATTTCATTTCCTAATCCTGACTACCCCAGCTTATTTTTAAGACCTACTATATAATAATATTAAGCACCAAGACACTTATACAAATATCGTGTTGGTTTTACATGCAATAGTGTTGGTGTTGACTTGTTATTGTTGGTTTCTGCTTCGTTCCAAAGTTCCAATCTATATTTCTTGTCCAATTCTAGGGAAAGGTTTCTGACAATTATTACAGTTTCTTGGGAGTTTAATCTCTTCGAATAAACCAGTCTTTAATGAGTTACAATGAACTTCTCAGGAGTTAGACTTCATGATCGAGGCCAAGAACAGCGTAAAGTGCTTGGATAACTTTAGGAAGTTCTCTCCACATATTGCAGAATATGTTTATGCTCCTCAAATACATTGGAACTTGAGTACCTCAAAGTTGTTGGTGATGGAATATATTGACGGAGCACAAGTAAATGATTGTAGAGCTATTAAGAAGATGGGTGTTCAACCAAGTGATGTTTCGAAATTGGTATGTTTTTTCTGCTTCCTCTATCAGATTGCATTAGGAAATTTGATTTCTATTACCATTACAGTATTTTATTGATTTTGGTTATCCATTATCATTTGACATCTGATAGAACTATATCAATGGCTTAAATCTTTAATTACATTGCTCCAAAAGTTTCTAATGCATCAGCTAAGTTTTTAAACTACGTAGAGTAATATGTTGGTTTACTCTATGCAGTTAAGTCAAGCTTTTGCTGAAATGATGTTTAAGCATGGTTTTGTGCATTGTGACCCGCATGCTGCGAATGTGCTAATTCGTCCTATGCCTTCTGGCAGTAGAAGCATTCTTGGTGAGCCACTTCTATATCTTTTAGTATGGACCGTTTACCTTTAGACATGCATCGAATCTTTAAATACGGAGTTAATTCATTTGACTGAATCATGCACGGGTGTATCACCTATAATCCGTTTGGTCTTAATTTTTGCATGTAGGTTACACATCTCCATTCCGATATTTTTTTGTAGTGGTAATATAGTTCAAGAACTCACATTTTTCACAACTCAATTGGGAAACTGTGTACTAATAGAAAAACTAATGAATTTGTGATTTTCTTGCAGCGTATTTAAGTTGAATTTAGGCATGTTTATTTACTGGCTTAACTTGATATTCCCTTTTCTTTTTCCGCGCTTAGGAAAGAAAAAACCGCAGTTGGTACTTTTGGACCATGGTTTATACAAGGAACTGGACGTCTCCACTCGAATTAACTATGCTTCGCTGTGGAAGGTACATGCTTTATAAAAAAAATGTGCATTTTTTTCCGTTGGGGGTTTTCTCAGTCTGAAAAACTCATTCGGTGATGTAATTTTGACATACTTTACAGGGTTTGGTATTTTCCGATGCCAAAGCAATTAAAGAAAATAGTGTGAAATTAGGTGCCGGAGAGGATCTTTATGTGCTGTTTGCCGGTATTCTTACAATGAGGCCATGGAATAAAGTTATTGATCCAGCTGTGGATCATCTTGTTGTACATGGCACTGCTACTGATCGTTCGGAACTCCAGGTGACAATCTCTTAAAGTTTCTTTTCTGGTGATAATGTAATTTCAGTTTCAATAGATTTGGTTTTTGTTTTGTTTTAATTAATTACAATTACAATAGAAAATCTAGCTAAAAGAAACTGCAGTAATATTTGTGGAGTAAATTGTTTTTTTTTCCTTTTTACAACCTGCAGTTTCCAACTGATAGTACCTATTCATTATTTTCTTCTTTGTTTGCAGATGTATGCTTCACAATATTTTCCGCAAATCACAGAGCTTCTGAGGAGACTTCCTCGTGTGATTCTCTTAATGCTCAAAACAAATGATTGCTTACGCGCAGTTAATAGAGAACTGGTATGATTACATCCTTTATCATTTGAAACTCTCTGCCTGAAATTGTTTTTTCTGCTAGTTTTTTCGAGTGGTCAGTGACTCAAAATTTCGTACATATTGTGACTGAGTTGGAAGCTTCCATTATATCATGATCCTTACAAGCACCCATTATATATTTATTTATTTATAATATTGAAACAGATGGAAGGATCTTCTCTCGAAACATTCTTGATTGTTGGAAGAGTTTCTTCCGAAGCAGTTATCGAGTCAAGATTGTTGCGCAGCAGATCTGTTCTATCCAGATTTCGGGTCTGGTTTGAGGAGTGCATGTTAGATGCTCGGTTATTCGGAATGCAGTTTGCCCTCTGGCTTTTGAAAATTCAAAAAGCTTTGACATTCTGAGAGGAAGAGTAATCTATCGGAATCATTGAAACAAAACTCAATTATTATACGGGTGCAGATTTTACGTTCTTTATTTATAATGAGGCTAATCTATTCATTTAAAAAGATTTAATCAGCTTAGGGACTTGCCAATTTATTTACTTTTTTCTTTCTACTTTTACTATGAAATTGTAAAATACCAAATGCAGTGTTTTGTCAACATAAAGCTTCATCTTTTAACCAGATTAAGCAATGCTGTAAAGGTACATAATAAGATGCTATTGTGATTTGTATAACGAATCCGCGGTGGGATAAAAAGCCTCGTTGGCGTTCTGACTATTCTTAATTCATGTTATCTGAGTTTTCGTTTGTTTGCCTGGGACTGAGTTGGTTTTTACCAGGCAACCGACCAATTACCGACAATATTTTTAAGTGGATAACAAATTTTTAACCGACTCATTGGATCGGGTCGAAATTTTTGACCAACCCATCTATAATGGGTCGGTTGATGGGTTTCTAATATTAAAACTTGAATGATCGATAATTATCGATCAACCAACTATATTACTAAAATTTATTAAAAAAATATAAAATTAAAGGTGTGATTTTCTAAGTGTTCTGGAATTATCAAAATAATTAGGATTTTAAACTATACAAAAGAAATCAACAAGGAAAAACAGTTGGATCTAAATCTTCCAAAAAAAATGGGAATGTGAATGTTTGGAATTAGTTTGAATTTTAGAAATATATTTTTAGTGAATTGCTATGAACTATTTTGAACTCATAAAAATATTAACTTAAGATCAAAAAAAGTATAAAATAAAATTTTGATTGAGAATATACTTAGATGACATATTATAATTACTTTAATATGTTTCTATATTCAAGCCATATCAACAAAAAAAATGATTCTTTTTTGTATTAATATAAATTAATATTTTGTAAAATAGTAGATTTTTAAGTTATATTTTATAAGTTACATTTTTCTTGATTGCAATTATTACTTTTAAATTACAAAGTGTATTATTTATTGAAAAAATCATAGTTTATAAAAAATAATTCTAGCAATGAAATATTCCATCTCATCTTAAAATGATTCCGTTAAAGTTATCAAATCTATACAACAAGGATGGTAATGAGATGGATTATAGAGATGAAGGATGGAAATGAGACAATTGAGATATGGGGACTAAAGTTGTACTAACTGTTAAGATGAGGGATCATTAATGATATTTTGCTTTTTTAGAATATAATCATATATACATCAGTGTGTTGCAATGGTAAATATTAGGGTAAATTACAAGCGCTCTCGAAGTAAGATATATTTATGAAAAAACCCCTCATTTTTTCATAATTACATCGACTCTTGTAATATGTCGATTTCTTGTATTAACACCATTTAGTAGGAGGTGGGTGTAATTTTTTTACAAATTATAGGGTGCTGAATGTAATTTTTAAAACATAAATAGTTTGTTTTGTAATTACACTTTACTACGGGGAGGTGGTTGTAATTTACTTTAAATTATATACCATCGAGAACTTGACTTTGAAGCAAAAGGACGTGTTCCGAACATTGCCTCTGTGGACCAAAAAGGCTCATAGGTACTTGCACTTTATAAACTTTTTTATGCTAAATATCTCTTGATATTTTTTATATGACATGTTTCTAATGCTCTTCAAAGCGCGTCCACCTCACTCTCTTCCTACATTTTTTTCTTTTCTTTATTTTTTCCCTTTCACTTTTTAGTTAAGACTTAAAAAATAGTTTAGATCTAATTAATGAATCATTAGAAGTAAATTATACATTAAATTAAGAGCCGAATGTCAAAAAACCCCATCACATAGGGCTTAAATGCACATTCGTCCCCAAGAAAAAACAATCTCTCAATTAAACTCATCCCCATGTCTTTAGTCTAAAATCCCCTCCATAATATAATTCTTATCAATTTCATCTATTATGCTCTAACTTACTTAATGTTACACATTGAACTCGGATTTAAACAAATATATCACATTAACCCCCAAAATATATTTTTTCCAGAAAATACTTTTTCTTTTTTCTGATTTTTTTTTCCGGACAGATTCCGGCGTTGACTATTTTTATTTTTTTTGAATTTTTTTTTCCTATATTTTTTTTCCGGTCCGCCGGTCTCCGGCCTTGATTTTTTTTCAATTTTTTTTTCTTAGAAAAAAATATTTTAATTAATATTACTGTTTTGGCTACTAAATTACTGTTTGGGACAGTAATATTTTGAATATTATTTTCCCGAACACTAATATTATTAATATTATTGTTTAAGACAGTTAAATTACTGTTGGAGACAATAATTTAGCAGTCAAGGCAGTAATATTAATTAAAATAATTTTTTTAAGAAAAAAAATTCAAAAAAAAAACAGTCAGTTAACAGTTAAATTACAGTCTCCGACAGTTAAATAACTGCTGGAGATAGTAATTTAGCAACGAATACAGTAATATTAATTAAAAATATTTTTTTTTAAGAATAAAAAAGCCAATTAATAGTTAAATTACTGTCTCTGACAGTTAAATAACTGCAGGAGATAGTAATTTAACAACGAATAAAGTAATATTAATTAAAATATTAAAAAAAAATTCAATTAACAGTTAAGTTATTGTCTCCGACAGTTAAATAACTGCTGGAGACAGTAATTTAGCAGGGAAGATAGTAATATTAATTAAAATATTTTTGAAGAAAAAAAAAGTCAATTAACAGTTAAATTACTGTCTCCGACAGTTAAATAACTGCCGGAGACAGTAATTTAGCAGCCAAGACAGTAATATTAATTAAAATATTTTTTTAAGAAAAAACAAAATTGTAAAAAAAAAAAAAAAAAAGTCAACACCGGAGACCCGGCGGTCAACAGGAGTTGACCGGCCGGAAAAAAAAAATTCAGGAAAAAAAAAGGTTTTCAAAAAAAAAAATAAAGAAACAAAAAGAAAAAAAAAATCAACGCCGGAGACCGGCGGTCTCCGGTGGTGGCCGTACAAAATTAAAATTAGAGTTAAAATTGGTTAATTGATGAAATTGGGCTAAATTGGGGTGTAAATCATGAAATTGGAGTTGAATTGGGTTTCAATGAATTGTAGGTAATTTTGATATATATAAAAAGATTTTCCTTATTTGCAAATAAGTTTAAATGAATTGGATTTATTCGAAAGACAAAAAATTTGGATGTCTCTCTTTTAATTAAGTGCATTGTCATGGACCATTTGCCCTAGATTAAGATTTAACTTAACTCGCACATTCCGTAAATATTAAACGCGCAATTAAATGTTATTATTCAATATATACATATTAGTGGTTATTTCAACTTGTCTTTTGATTAATTTCTCATGTGGTGACTAATAAAAAAAAAACAATAATTCTTAGGAAGTAGCTATTAATAAAATAAATAATGTTGGAACTTTCCTGATTTTTGGTCATTAATATTGAGTAATATTAATTAAATTATGTGGAAATTAATTTTATATATTTACTTACTCAAAATCACGAAGTAAGTTGAATAAAGATTGTCTCCAAATTTGCAGGACGGGAGATGACCTTAGATGGTCAAGGTTCGAAATAAGCGCTCGCTTGGCGACGTTCATTGATCGGTAATTCGATCGAACTTGAGCTTGGATATAAGTTTCAATTATTTGATTCGGGCTTTAGATATTTTATTAACTAATTAAATTATTTAGGCCCAACCAAATTAATTAAAACTATTAAATCTAATTTAGTCAAAATAACTAATTATCCTAGCCAATCTTTTGAACAAAAGAAACCTTGTGTGAGAGACGTTGTTCCAAACAGGCTTGTGTCTTTTCCTTCTCCAATTGTTGCCTCCCTTTGTGAATCAAACTCTACTGCTTATAAATAAAGTAAGTATCTGGCCAATTATTTATTGAATTTTTAATCAGATAATTGAGTTTATAAATTTTCATATTATTCTCTTTTATGAAAATTCCTTTTCTATTGTTCAAGTTCGACGAGGATTTGATTCTCGCGCGAGATTCAGACATTCGATCGTTGTACCTTGAGAGACTAACGGGAAGAAACTGTGCACCATCGACAGCCCATAAATATTGTGTTAAGAAAATTGTTTTGGCAAACCTCGATCGTTCTATGTATTTTTTACAATTCCTCTTTTCGATAAATATGTATGTATTTTGGTTCTTTTACAAAGATTGTTATAATTACACCAACATATTAGTTATTAAGAAATTAATATAACATTGAATTTAGTCCGACACGTTGTCGAACGAGGCCATAATTAAAGGAAGAATAGAATTGGAGAAGAAGAGAAATAATACGTAATATAATAGAAACCCACATTGTGTTATAGGTTGATTTACATGGACTATATACTAACTAATCTAGGTAATTGAATCATAATAGAATCTTAATATCCTATAATATCTAATAATATAATATACTCTAACACGCCCCCGCAGTCGAAACGTGAAGAACGTGAAGACTGGACAATCACTTGCTAACACGCTCCCGCAGTCGGAACGAATAAACTCCAAAAGTGAAGACTGGACAAGAACCCGCAAAATCCAGCAGTGGTGATCCTTGGTGAAAATATCAACCAAATAAAAATAATAACTAAGAGAGAAAAATAAGCAATTTTTTTTTTTGTTTTTGTTTTTGTTTTTGTTTTTTTTTGTTTTTGTATGAATCGAGAGTGATTGAGAGAAGGAAGAATAATAATTCAAAGAATGATAGAGATTAAAGAGAAGAAACGAGATTAACCGACTAAGAAAGAAGAAGAAGATGATGTCGGAAAATAATATAGGTTGGAAGAAAAGAGTACTACCACCAGGGGAGGGAGAAAATTGGGTGGTGTTCATGGATCTGATACAAAAATATATCGGAAAAGATAGAGAAGATGCACCACCGGGGGAGGAAGAAAATTGGGTGGTGTTCATGGAAAAGATAGAAAAAAGACAAAAATATTAGAGTGCCACCATCGGGGAAGGGAGAAAATTGGGTGGTCACCGCCATGGAGAAGAAAGGCGGTTAGGTTTTCACCGCCATGGAGAAAAAAGGCGGCTAGGTTAAAAACCTAAACCTGGTGCCCTGATACCATAAAGGAAGAATAGAATTGGAGAATGAGAGAAATAAATAAATAATACGTAATATAATAGAAACATCCTATGTGTTATGAGTTGATTTACATGTAATATATATACTAACTAATTTAGGTAACCGAATCATAATAGAATCTTAATATCCTATAATATCTAACAATAATATTACTTATAGTTTGTTCAAGTGAGATAAGTACATGTATAAATGACAATTATGCTAACGAATTGAATAGACTTGAATGAATAATTGGGCAATCTTGTTTGAATTTTTTTCAAAATTTGAAACTCGTGTTTGAGCAGGAGTTGATTTGCAGTAAAGTCGAGATCAAATGAGCTTCAATCGTGTCGAACACATATAAAACTTGTGTAGCTTGATCTAATTCGAATCATATTTGAAGTATTGCGCAATATGTCCCATTTAATCTTATTAATAAAAGTAAGGTTGCTCCTAAACCCTAGGATATTTTTCCCGTTCATTTGATAGTTATAAATTATAATTGTCATTTATTTAATTAATTAATTTTAATTGTTTTACTATATTTAATAGGGTAAATTACAACCACACCTCTGAGCTATTCTTAAATAACTTTAAGATCCCTATGGTATCGATAATTACACTCACCTCTGAAACGTAGTTAAAAACTCTAATGGGATAATGCTCTGGATACATTATTCCGATAGGGTTCTAACCAAAATTGCCCCAAATTTACGTATTTTGACCAAAATTGTCATTTTTAATTAATATTAATTTGATGAAAATTTTATTTAATGGTTTAGAAAAATATTTGGTTCTTATCTTATTAATAAAAGTAAAGTTGCTCCTAAGAGCGACTCCAACGAGGTTAGAGCAACTCCAACGGGGTTATTAAATTGGTTATCAAATCCCTTAACCTCCATTTGACTCCCCAATTTTAAAAACTCTCTGCTTCAATGGGGTTATTAAAATAGAGTTCTATTTTGATAATTCATCCATCGGGAAGTAAAAATACATCCCAAATAAATAATTATCAAATATTCTCCTAAAAAATAGGAGCACGTGAAAAAAGAAAAACCTCAACAAAATTGAGTTTTCTTTTCTTTACGTAAAAATCTCAACAGAATAAAATTAAATTCTATACGTCTTCAACAAATTTCCACTGGAAAAAAAATCTCAAAAATATCTGAACATAATTTTTTTTTTCTCTAGAGCTTCAACAATGTTTCACGGAAAAAAAAGAATCACTATGCATATATAATATTTTTTTCTCGGTTTTGAAATGGTAAAAACTTGATTAATATTGATTTTGAGGATAGTTTACCAGAAAAATCTGTTTGTATGGTTATTTAAAATGGATTTTAAAATTAAATAATATATAAATAATCATAAATTTGTTTGATAATTTTTTTTTGATACTTGTGGTTGGAATTCACTAGTTATATAGAGATATCAAAGTATAATCTTGATTATCAAATGAGTATTTGATAACCCCATTTGATAACAATGGGTTGGAGTTGCTCTAATAAACTCTTGAGATTTAATGGCATCATTGATTTACAGTAAATTTACCGAAGTCTGTTATGAGTGATAAAGAAGAAGATTCGTCAAATTTCAACATTAAATGAGATAAGATAAATATACAACCACATCTTATTTATAAAAGTAAGGTTGCTCCTAAACCCTAGGATATTTTTCCCGCTCATTTGATAGTTATAAATTATAATTGTCATTTATTTAATTAATTAATTTTAATTGTTTTACTATATTTAATAGGGTAAATAACAACCACACCTCTGAGATATGCTTAAATAACTTTAAGGTCCCTATGGTATCGATAATTACACTCACCTCTGAAACATAGTTAAAAACTCTAATTGGATAATGCTTTGGATACATTATTTGGATAGGGTTCTAACAAAAATTGCCCCAAATTTACGTATTTTTTCCTACCAAAATTGTCATTTTTAATTAATATTAATTTGATGAAAATTTTATTTAATGGTTTAGAAAAATATTTGGTTCTTATCTTATTAATAAAAGTAAAGTTGCTCTTAAGAGCAACTCCAACGGGGTTATTAAATTTGTTACCAAATCCCTTAACCTCCATTTGACTCCCCAATTTTAAAAACTCTCTGCTCCAATGGGGTTATTAAAATGGGATAATTAGTGAAACCCCCCCAATTCATTTAGTTATATTAAAGTGGATATAACCTCATTTTCATTATTAGTGAAAACCTCCCACCTTATATTAAATAAATTTTTTTTAATTAATATTGTTTTTGACATTACTAATATACCTAATTTGCCCAAACCTATTTCACGTTCTCTCTATTTTCTTATTCTTCTCTCTCTTTTCTCTCTACATATCGGCGCCTCCAACTCTCTTCCATCTGTGTTCTGCCACCGCCTCCAACCCTCTTCCGTCTTTGCGCCGCCATCGTTACTCTCTTCTCCCAACGGCGTTTCTCCCTCCACCAACGCGAAAAGAAGACGATCTTCACACCTGGGATTCTCTCGTCAAGGACGGCGTTAGGGTTTCGCTAGGGAGGAAGACGAAATTATGCAGCGGCGCTAGGGTTGATATTGCGTCTGAGATTTCAATACAGTCCACCGCCACATTGTTTCATTGTTGTTCTTCTTCTTCTTCGTCTCTGATTTTTTGGAACCCAATTCTCGAATCTTAATTTTCTTAATTGGAGTTTTTGGTTGAATTCTTATATAGAAGGCTAATTTTGTGTTCAATCAATAGTATAATGGATGTTTGTTTTTGTTGAAATTGTGTGGTGTTATTTACAGATTTATAGATATTTTCGTACATCAATATAGTTGTTTTCGTACAGCAATATAGTTGTTTTCGTACAGCAATATAGTTGTTTTCGTGCAGCAATATAGTTGTTTTCGTACAACAATATAGTTGTTTTCGTGCAGCAATATAGATGTTTTCGTACAACAATATAGTTGTTTTCGTGCAGCAATATAGTTGTTTTTATTACTTTTTAGTTGAATGTAATAGTTGATTTAACAAATAGTTGATTTTGATAAATGAGAGTTGCTGGAGATATATAGTTGTTTTAATCATATTGTTTTAATAACAGTTGTTTTACTAATAGTTGTTTTATTGAAATATAGTTGTTTTAACGGAAGACAAAAAAATATAGTAAAAAAATATAATAAAAAAGTTAAAAAAAATAATTTTTTTTAAAATGTATTTTTTTTAAATAAGAAATAAATAAAAAAAACGAAAATTAAAATTAAAATACAAAAAAAAAAAAAAAAAAAAAAAGTGTATCAAAGTAGTGTATAATAGGTTGTAAATAGAGGAAGGGTAAATTTGAGAATAAAAAAAGGATGGGTCTCTCACTAATAAAGGAAAAGGAGCTAGATCTATTCTTATTAAAATAAAGCTAGAGGGGGTTCTCACTAATAGTCCCTATTAAAATAGAGTTCTATTTTGATAATTCATCCATCGGGAAGTAAAAATACATCACAAATAAGTAATTATCAAACATTATCCTAAAAAATAGGAGCACGTGAAAAAAAAAAAAACCTCAACAAAATTGAGTTTTCTTTTCTTTACGTAAAAATCTCAATAGAATAAAATTAAATTCTATACGTCTTCAACAAATTTCCACTGGAAAAAAAATCTCAAAAATATCTCAACATAATTTTTTTTTCTCTAGAGCTTCAACAATGTTCCACGGAAAAAAGGAAAAAAAAGAATCACTATGCATATATAATATTTTTTTTTCGGTTTTGAAAAGAAAAAAACTTGATTAATATTGATTTTGAGGATAGTTTACCAGAAAAATCAGTTTGTATGGTTATTTAAAATGGATTTAAAAATTAAATAATATATAAATAATCATAAATTTGTTTGATAATTGTTTTCTGATACTTGTGGTTGGAATTCACTATTTGTATAGAGATATCAAAGTGTAATCCTGATTATCAAATGAGTATTTGATAACCCCATTTGATAACAATGGGTTGGAGTTTCTCTAATAAACTCTTGAGATTTAATGGCATCATTGATTTACAGTAAATTTAGCGAGGTCTGTTATGGGTGATAAAGAAGAAGATTCGTCAAATTTCAACATTAAATGAGATAAGATAGATATACAACCATGTTACATCAAAAATATAAAATTAAATTAATAAATATGGCAAAAAAAAGTTTATACATGGGAAATTATCATCAATATATATACAGCAAAATATCAAAATGAATTTAAACTTCAATATGTTATTGAAATTCAACTTTACTTTGTATTAATTTTACAATCTCATGCATCACACGGCCAAGGAAAAAAAAAAAAAAAATCATTTTATTTTCTTACCGCGTGTGAGTTGTTGTTGAACCACGTTCTACGGAAGCGCGTAGAAGTCGTCACCGGCCTAATCTGCTCAGCGAGATAAAGCAAAACCCACACTGCATTATCAATTATCAATAGTACTCCACCGCCCGCTGAATCAAGCATGGACAATTACACCTCCAACAAACGCCGCCTCTCCCTCAACTCAAACACCACCACCACCGCCACCACTCTCCCTCTCCTCCCCGTTCCTGAACACAATGAAATCGACGGCGGCGAGCAGAGTTTCCAGGAAGGCGGAGATCCGGGGGTATGGGAGGCGTTCACAGAGAATTTCCGGCGAGTTCAAACGGTGCTGGACCGGAACCGGGTGCTGATCCAGAAAGTCAACGAGAACCACCAGTCGAAAATTCACGAGAATATAGCGAAAAACGTGGGATTGATTCAAGAGATAAACGGGAATATTAACAAGGTTGTTTCTCTTTACTCCGAGCTGTCTGCTCATTTTTCAACCGCCGTCGTTCACCACACCAGTGCTACCGCCGGCAACAGCAACTCACCGCCGCCCAAGGAGAAACAGTGATATATTGGAGTCTGCCTGCAAAAGTGAAGTTCAATTACTTTACTTACTTACTACTATTAAATTATTCCTAATTAAATACTCCTCTTCATTAGTGTTTAAAATAAATTATTAATGATGCTAAAATAAATTCCATCATCTTCCAAATAAGTTTGGACTTGTGTTATCATTCTTCTTAATTCTCTGTTTACTATTATCATCTAAATTAATGATGTCATTAACATGGAACAATTTACGATTAAAATCGTACTACTTGATTCGGTTTATTATCTACATGATTCAAACTGTTGAATCGCAAGTTTTCTTTTCAAACCATACGATTAATTACTATTCAAATTTTACGGTTTACACTTTTTTTCGTACCGATTTATGCTATGAATTCTTAACAATTTCGTTATATATTTTGAATATATATTAAAAATCAGGTAAATTACGATTAGCCCGATGTAAGGTCAAATTATGAAGAAAACAAACCCCTCTTGTTTCGGTAATTGCAACAACTCCTCAACTATGAGTATTCTTACGCGTCACCCTTATGGTCTTAAATTCAACAAAATCTTCTAAAGTCTGTGGAAGGTTCTCTAGTTTGTACTTATTTTGCACAGAAATACAGTTTTTGATGCACCACAATCTGATATTTACAAGCCAAGAGACATATCTTATGACCATCTTGTTACAAAATGTGGAGCTCGAATGGAGTAAAATGAGTACAAATTGGAAAAAAATTCATATGATCTAGAAAATTTCATTAAATTTGACACGGTGAGATGTATAAGAAGATTTATACTTGAGAGAATTTTTAAATTAGTCAAATATGAAAGGTTTTTTTGGTAAATTTGACATTATCCACTACTCAGGGGCCCGGGGGTAGAGGTGGTAAACGAGCCGAGCCGGCTCGTGAGCTCGACGAGCCGGCTCGTAAAAAGCTCGAACTCGGACTCGAGGTTTTTGAGCTCGAGCTCGAGCTTTCTGACGAGCCGAGCTCGAGCCCGATTTTAGTTGTTCATCAGCTCGCGAGCCGGATGTATTATTATTTTTTTATTTTTTTTATTTTTTATATATTATTTTTATTTAAATAATGTATAATAATATAAAATAATATAGAAATAAATACAAATATTAAAAAAAATATATAATCACAATTTAGTTTTTATTTTGTAATTTTTTAAAATATTTTTTAATAATAAAATAATATTTAATAAAAGAAAAAAAAAAAAAAAAGAGATTGGGCTCGAGCTCGACAAAATTAACACGAGCTCGAGCTCGAGCCAGAAAAAGAAGAACTCGACGAGCTCGAGCTCGACAAAATAAACTCGAGCTCGAGCTCGACAAAATAAACTCGAGCTCGAGCTCGAGCCAGCCAAAAGAGGTGAGCTCGGCTCGTTCGAGCTCGAGCTCGACAAAATAAACTTGAGCTCGAGCTCGAGCCAGCCAAAAGAGATGAGCTCGGCTTGTTCACACCCCTATCCGGGGTGGAAGTAATTCACCCATTAAAAATAGGGCAAATGGCAAATAGGCTCATGACAATGGCACTTAATTAAAAGAGGGACATCCAATTTTTTTGTTTTTCAAATAAATTCAGCCCATTCAAACTTATTTGCAAATAAGGAATATCCCTTCATATATACCAAAATTACCCCCAATTCATTGAAACCCAATTCAACTCCAATTTAGCCCAATTTCATTAATTAACCAATTTTAACCATAATTTCAATTTTGACCCGCAACCACCGGAGACCGCCGGCGCCGCCGTTGACCGACGTTGACTTTTTTTTTTTTTTTGAAAATCTTATTTCCAGAAGATTTTTTCCGGCCGGTCAACTGCCGTTAACCGCCGGGTCTCCGGTGTTGACTTTTTTTTTTTTTTAATTATGTTTTTTTCTTAAAAAATATTTTAATTAATATTACTGTCTTGGCTGCTAAATTACTGTCTCCGGCAGTTATTTAACTGTCGGAGACAATAATTTAATTGTTAATTAATTAACTTTTTTTTTTCTTCAAAAATATTATAATTAATATTACCGTATTCGTTGCTAAATTATTGTCTCCAACAGTTATTTAACTGTCGGAGAAAGTAATTTAACTATTATTGACTTTTTTATTCTTAAAAAAAATATTTTTAATTAATATTGCTGTATTCGTTGCTAAATTACTGTCTCCAGCAGTTATTTAACTGTTAATTGATTTTTTTTTAATTTTTTTTTCTTAAAAAAAGTTATTTTAATTAATATTACTGCATTGGCTGTTAAATTACTGTCTCCAACAGTAATTTAATTGTTTTAGACAATAATATTAACAATATTACTGTTCGGGAAAATAATATTCATAATATTACTGTCCGAAACAGTAATATTACTGTCTGAGACAGTAATTTAGTAGCCAAGAAAGTAATAATATTAATTAAAATATTTTTTTCTAAGAAAAAAAATTCAAAAAAAAAAAAAAAAATTCAACGCCGAAGACCGACCGCCGGTCAACGGTGGTTGATCGGCCGGAAAAAACTTTCAGGAAAAAAAAGAATTTTCAAAAAAAATAAAAATAAAAATAAAAGTCAACGCCGGAATCTGACCGGAAAAAAAAAAAATTCAGAAAAAAAATTATTTTCTGAAAAAAAACATTGGGGGTTAATGTGATATATTTGTTTAAATCTGGGGCAATGTGTAATATTAAGAAAGTTAGAGCATATATGGGTGGAATTGATAAGAATTATATTATAGAGGGTATTTTAGACTAAATACATGGGGATGAGTTTAATTGAGAGACTGTTTTTTTTGTGGACCAAAATGCATTTAAGTCCAATGTGATGGGCATTTTTGCCATTCGCCCATAAAAATTAGGAGGCGAAAAAACAAAATTTGATATAAATAGTTAATATATATGTTAATTACCCATACTGCCACTAGGGCTGGCAATCGGGCCATGTGAGTCGAGCTTGAGTCGGCTCAAGCTCACATACCATCGGGCCTCGTTATTATAGACTCAAGCTCTCACATGTCATCGGGCCTCATTAGAAAAGGCTCAAACTCGGCTCATGTATTTTTTCGGGTTTCGGGTTTATATCGGGCCCCATTACTATATAATTGTAATGAGTAAATTTTTTTTATAAAAATAGGTGATGAACAAGATTTACCTCCATTGAACCTAATAAAAAAAAACCCTAAACGATCATTGAAAGTTATTGGAAAAAACTTGAAAATAAAACCGAAAGAAGTAAAAAAAGATTAGTAACTCTTATTATTGTAAACATTTTATATTCTCAAATCTCGGTGAGATGTTGCATTTGATTCATATTTAACTTATTTCCACCGTCACTACTTAATTCCTTTTATTTTGACTTTTTTCTTCGCAAAATCAAATAATCTTCATAACTTGTATGTTGAGTCATAGTATTAAAATAATAAATATATTATATATTTTAGTATTATCCTAATCGGTTGGGCCTTATTCGGGTTGAGCCATATAGTAGGCTCAAACTCGGCTCATAAGTAAATCGGGTTTAGTAAAATGGCTCAAACTCAACCCGGCTCACTAAAAAGTAGGCTCGGCTCAAATATAATCGGGCCGAGCCATCGGGCTTCGGTTAGGCCCGGCTCAATTGCCGGTCCTAACTGCCACTATACGTATCAAGCTATTAGAGCAACTCCATAATGGGGTTAATAAATGGGTTATCGAGCCTCTTAACCTTCATTTGATTCTCAAAATTTAAAAACTCTCGCCTCCAATGGGGTTATTAAAATAGAGTTCTATTTTAATAACCCATTCATCCAGAAGTAAAAATACATCACAAATTAATAATAATCAAATATTATCCTAAAAACTAGAAGCACGTGAAAAAAGAAAAACCTCAACAGAATTTAGTTTTTTTTTCTTTACGTAAAAATCTCAACAGAATACAATTAAATTATTTACGTCTTCAACAAATTTCCACTGAAAAAAAAAATCTCAAAAATATTTAACATAATTTTTTTTTCTCTAGAGCTTCAACAAAGTTCCACGGAAAAAAAAGAATCTCTATGTATATATAATATTTTTTTTCTGTTTTGAAAAGGTAAAAACTTGATTAATGTTGATTTTGAGGATAATTTACTAGAAAAATCGGTTTTTATGGTTATTTAATATGGATTTTAAAATAATTAAATAATATATAAATAATTATAAATTTGTTTGATAATTGTTTTTGATACTTGTTGTCGGAGTTCACTGGTTGTATAGAGATATCAAAGTATAATCTTGGTTATCAAATCAGTATTTGATAACCCCATTTAATAACAATGGATTGGAGTTGCTCTTACATTTTGATTATTGGTCATCTCAAGCAGGGTTGAGTATGAATTGGTTATCGGCCAACCGCAACTCTCGACCTGCTTTTATTGGCCGACACTTTTTTTGACCGGTAATTTTAATCGAATCATATATGATATATAAATGAGCCGGTCAGCGATTTTCAGTTTACTCAAAAGTAGGTTGGTCGGGTAATATCAATCAATCCATTAATTTAGAATAAAAATTATTTTAAATATTTAATTGTAATTCTTGTTTTCTTACGTTGAAATAATATATAAAAGAAGTCAAATTTCAAAAACTCGAAACACAAATTTATAAACATCTACATACTATTTCTAGTTTACAATTCTTATTTCATATCCTTTACTACATTTATTTATTGCAGAAGTTTAATTTAAAAAAAAAAGACTTTTAATTTAAAGTTAAGATTTTTGCAATATAAGTTTTCCCAAAAATTTAATATTTTCTGAAAAAACTTATAAAAACATTTTACTATTAGAAAATAAAAAAGGCCGATAATACCTCCAACTCCAACCGACCCATTGTTTATCCGATAAAGTCGGTTGTCAACCATTATCCAATCCATAATAGTTGGGCTTGTAATGGTTTTCAATATTCAACAAAATTTGCTGATCGAGTCGGGTAGGTAATTGGTGTTAGAGTAGGTGACCAACAAGCCAACATGTGGCTGTGGTCTTTCGTATTTATTATTGTAATAAACGAACCTTTATTCGTATTAATGATAAAACACCTTGGCATTCTATATCTTTGTCCCTTTGTCACAAGCATAGATATAGTCCTTACAGTTATTACAAGTACTAGTAATTGATCGTTAGGATCGTGAGATATTTACTCAAGTATTATAACTGTTAAACGTGTTCCTAGTCGAAGGGTTACGCCACTAATGAGGATATCGGCCTTTCCCATTAAGACGAGCACTTAGTGTATGTGTACTGCATCTCATCAGTAAACGGTATTGTGATACCGGCATGCATAAGTGGGTGCTCGTAAGTTGACGAGTTCACTGAACTCCCTCACCCTAGAAATCTCTAAGTGGTTCCCAATAATCGAG